CCCCGGCGGGGGGGGGGGGGTCCCCCTGGGCCCGGCACCCGGGGCGTTCCAGGAGCCAGGCGCAGAGTTGCCCCCTGGGGGGGGTTCCCCAGCCCCCCCGGCCCCCCCCCCCTCGGTTCGGCCCCTGGCGCACCTGCCTTGCGGCTGTTGTTGCAGCGTTCCCGCCCCGAAGCGCCCCCGGGCGGTCCCCGGGATCTGGGGCCGGGGCCAGCAGGGCGGGGGAGGGGGAGGGATCAGCCCCCCCGGGCGTCCCGGGGGCTCCTGCCCACTCCCCACCTGGCATTTCTCCGCTTCCGCAGTTGGGCGTGGTGCCCGTTTGCTGCAGAGGGGGCGCCCGGAGTTGTGGAAGGCTGTGGGGGATGGAGAGCGCCGAGACAGGTGGTTGAGGGGGCGAGAGATGGTGCGCAAAGGCTCCTGATATTAATGCGCATTTCTCTCCCCCGCCTTCTTCAGGGGGCTCGGAGGTGCATGTGGAGAAGGCGGGGGAAGGCCAGTGGCATGGCTCAGGAGAGGGCAGGCGCTGTGGGGGGATGCTATTGGGCTCTGTCTCTGTTCAGTCCCCCCCCTCACCCCCAAATAATAAAGTGGGTGTGATGGTGAGGATGGAGGAGTTTGATGAAGACCTGGCCCAGAACTGTGCTAAACTGCCCAGGCTAGCCGCCTGGCTCCTGCGTGCGCATCTGGGAGCCCCAGACTCAGAGCACTCTGCAGAGACTTGGGGTGGAGGTGGGGGGTGGGGGGGGCAGGAATGTCAGAGATCGAAGCTTTAGCAGCTGAGGCAGCCCCAGAAATAGGGGCTGGGGGGAGGGAGGTGGGACTGGAGGCAAGGGCGTCTCCAGGCCTACAGCCCAAGTCCATAGGTGGTGGGTTGTCAGGATGTGGTGGGAGGTGGGGGACTTAGGGAAACTGGGTAATGTCCTGAGCGCCCCCCCCCCCCTTTAGCTTTATTTGCAGCCATAGACCAAAATTTGGGATTCATCATTCAATCATCAGTGCACAATTTTTTTTTTCTTTCCCTTTTGGTTTGTTTTGTTTTTTAGAGGACCGGAGAATGGCAGCACAGAGGGACAGAGGGACGCCGGCCCAGCCAATCCTGAGCTGTGCAGCACTTTCCCCCAACAAACCCATTCCGTGCAAGGACCCAGAGGAGGGGGCTGCTGGCTCCCCGCCCCTCCCCTGCCTGTGGCCCCCTTGCGGCTCCCCTGTGGGAAGGGCAGCCTGGCCACCTGAGGCTGCAGGGGCAGAGGCTGGCACGGGCCGGGGTGGTGATGGTGCCGCAGCCCCTCCCTGTGGCCCAGCGTGGGAAGAAGAACCCGGAGCCAGGCAAGTCTTTCTCTGTGTCCTCTGGGGTGGAAGGAGCAGGTATAGGCAGGGCTGGGGCGGCCAGGGCCTGGTGATCCTTTGGCATTGGTGGCGAGAGGGCTGTTCCTTCCAGCCCCTTGGGTTTGGTTCCACCCCTGCGTGCTTATTGGTGCTACCATGTTATATAACGCTTATATAACCTCCCAGGGCAAGCGCTCTGTCTCCACTCCCAGGTCACGCAGACACTGTGTCCGTGGGGGAGGCAGGATCTGTGGAGGCTTGTGGGTAGAACTACTCCCCCCATTCTCAACCTGGCTCCTTTATTCTCCTGATCCCGGACATAGGAGGGGGAACGGAAAACAGGGGCCCACTCCACACCAGCTGTCCGGGCTGAGGAGGGGGAGGGGGTTGGGCTGGGCAGTCTTCCTCACCTTCTTGCCCTTTAGGCCCTGTTGCCCAAGAGACTCTGGTGACGTGGTGCCAGGCTTGTGCTTTGAGATCAGCTTTTTGTTCGTGGGGCCCCCTGGCGCGGCAGATGGGTGTGGGGAGATGATGCCTAGCATGTTGCAGTGGGAGGATATATGGTACATCGTGTTGGATAAAGAGAGGCAGAAATGAGCTCCGCCTTTGAGGTTTTGAGCAAGAGCGACTAGAAAGATGGTGGTGGCGTTATAAAAAAATTGGTGCAGGCCTAGGGGCTAGGGGATGGTCAGGGAAGGGTGTACAGGGAAGTGGATCAGAAAGCAAAGATAAACATGGTGTTCTTTTACTGTACTCTCCACTGGGCTGTCCCTGGTTACCAGGGCAACAGAAGCAGTGATGAAAATCATGCCTTTCCTTCAGTGGAAAAATTTGGCTCCTCCTCCCACCTCTTCCTTCTCTAATCGCCTGCGACCCATGGGGAGGGTGATGTCTCCAGGGATCAGAGACCTCAGCCTATCTTCGTCATGCCCCCTATGCCCAATTTTTAAAAATGATCTCCCCCCTTCCTGCATCCCCCGTCTCCCCCAGAGCTTGGCAGTTCCGTAGGAGTTGGAGTGGATGGAGGGGGAAGGGCATGGACGTCATTGCAGAACCGGGCGAGCGGAGCGTGGGCAGAGACGTGGATGCAGGAGTGACTGGCACATGACGAGGGTTCGGCATCGATCAGCGGGATGGAGCCTGTTTCTGAGATGGTGGGTGAGAAGGGTGGGTGGGAGGATGGAGGCCTGCAGAGCCTGGCCTTCTGGGCTCACAGTGGTAGGGATAGGAAGGCCCTGAGGTTGCCAGTGTGGTCATGGCTCCTGATGAAAGCTAGGATTCATTCATTCAGCACTGATTGGGCACCTGCCATGTTAGGTCAGGTTCTGGGAACTGGGAAGACAGGTCAAGGACAGGGCCTTGACCTTGAAGAGATTGTGGTGGACGGCAGGAGGATGGGGATATGGGGGAAGATCGGCCTGGCCTTTTTACAAGCTTAGAATCTGGGCCCCAGGCGGAAGACTGGCAGTATTCCAGGCTGAAGGTGATGGATGAGGGTGGAGCCGGTGGGGGTGCAGAGGAAGAGGTAATTCAGAGAGCCATTTTGGCTTGGGGACAGGACAGGGGAAGAGAAGGTACAGACATTCCGAGCCTTAGTGATTGACAGGAATAGAAAAGTCAGGGTTCAAACTTCTTTGGGGGGGAGCCATGTTTGCTTTGGTTTTAGACATGTTGCGTTCCAGACGATGGCAGGGTGCCCATCCGGATAGATATGTTTATGTCAGGCAAATAGAGTTTGCAAGGGAAATCTGTCCTGGAGAGAGATTTGGAGGAAATTGTTGTAAAGTTTTGAAGGTGCGTGGTGGCTGAGAAAGTGTGTAGAGAGAGATCCCAGGGCCTGGGGCTTGGGCCCAGCATTGGGTGAGGCTGTATGTCTTGTTCTTGTTTATTATCCCAAGGGCCCGCCCAGACTGCTGGACCAGTTTCTGCTAATGAACACCCACGTCTTCTACCAAACCACACCCTTTTTTGAAGTTCGGGTTTCTATTTAAGTTTTCTTTTCTCTAATAACTATGGCCAGGAGGATATGTCCTGGAAGGATTATATATATATATATATCAGAGGCCCAATGCACAAAATTCATGCAAGGGGCTCGGCCTTCACAGCTGTGGCAGCTGCCTCGGTCCTTGCAGCCTGAGCTTCATCTGGAAGGTCATCCGGAAGGACATCCAGTCTAATTAGCACATTATGCTTTTTTTATTATTATTATTATTTATATATCCTATATAATAAAAGCATAACATGCAAATCGACCGATTGGCTGAACAACGGACAACCATCCGGACGACCATCCGGACGACCATCCGGGACCGCACTATGACACCCACTGGTGCCAACCAAGGCAGGTGTGATGTGATTGGTTGGGGCCTGGCCATGGCCCCATGATCGCCCCACAGAGGGAGGCCCAGGCCACTGACCTGGCGAACTGCGGACGGTGGGCAGAGCCTCCCTCTGCGAGGGAAGCCTGGGTCCCGGGTGCTGGAGGGAAGCTGGTGGCAGCAGCCAGGGGAAAGAAGGCCTACTCTTGCATGAATTTCGTGCATCAGGCCTCTGGTGTGTGTGTGTGTGTGTGTGTGTGTGTGTGTGTATGTATGTATGTATGTATGTATGTATTTATTTTCACCCTCTCCAGGCTCTCTCATTGACCTATGCTCTTAGCGGTTACTGAAAGTTCCCAGGATGTGGTATAGAGATGTGTCATAGGCCTTTAGTCTCCACCATCAAGACTGTTGATTCTGGTTCCTTTTCAGTCATCACTCTAGAGCAGCGATTTTCAACTGGTGTGCTTCAAGAAATTTTAAAACATGTAGTATCCGACTGTTTAGTCAGGGTCACTGACCTCTTTTACCTTAGACTGTCAAATTAAAAAATGACAACAGCCAACACAACAATAGCCGTCTGGTGTGAATGCCCTGTCTTGAACCATAATATGGAGTTGTATCTTATTGGTCACATTGCAGAATAAGGTTGCTTCCGATTCGTTCATTCTTGGTACCAGAAATCCTTATATACAACTATAGGCACCTGATTTGTTTTAAAAGTCACTTTGGAGCAAAAAAAGGGTAGGTAATTACTTTTTTTTTTAAATAAATCAATCAAAATTATACCTATTTTTTTTGGTCAGGTCGGCAAAACATATTTTTTGGTGCTTCGCAGAATTTTAGTAATTAGTTTATGTGTGCCCTGAGATGGAAAAGGTTGAAAATCACTGCTCTAGAGGATTAAGATCACTGGACAGAGTCAGGAAGCCTTTGCCAGTTACATGATCTTGGCAAGTCACTTCCTTTCCAGATCCTAGCTCTTTTCATCTCTAAAGCCTTTGGATGTGATGTCCAAAGCTTTTACCTCTTTTGCCCAGGTTTCTGATGCAAGCCTGACTTTTCTTCTCGAACAAGCAACCCAGACTCCTTTAGGGTCTTGTGGGAGGGAGGAGCAGGAATGGAGGCCTGGTCCCCAGACTAGGCCCCTGTCTCCAGAGTGGGTGGGAGTCCTCCTGGTGGAGGGAAGGTGGTCTCTGTTCCTCTTGGGATTTGGAAATGCAGGAAGAGCAGGAGTTGGCAAACTACAGCCCATGGGCCAGATGCCTGCTTTTGTAAATAAAGTTTTATCAGAACACAGACATGCCATTGTTTATTTGTCTATGGCCGCTTTCATGCTAATTGGTGTAGTTGAGGGCAGCAGGTCTCCTAATAATGTTGTTTTGTTCAATGTCGTTTTATCGTAATACCGACGAGGGGGAGAAATTGATTCCTGGCTGTATGGAGTTTCCCAGTGCTCCCCATGTCTGTATGGGTTTTCTGGGGTGCTCTGATTTCCTCTCACATCCCAAAGATATGACTCTTAGATGAACTGATGTGTCTATATTGTCCCCTCTGAGAGGGTGTGGGTGTGAGTGGCTCTGCAATGGAAGGGCGCCCCGTCCTGGGTGGGTGCCTGCCTTGTGCCCTGGGCTGCTGGGGAGAGTTCTTGTCAGCCACGACCCTGAACTAGAATAAGCGGGTTGGAAAATAATGATCTTAATTGTTCTTATTCATCTTTCTTAAATGTATAAATAGCTCATTTATTTCCATGTTTAATATTAGAAGTGTTTTGGGTCTTTATTTAGAAGTTTGGTGATGATTTTGTGACCAGAAATATGCCCTAGGAATTAACTTCTTTGATATCAATTCGCCTGTGGTGAAATTGGTTTTGTTATATGTCATTTTGGTTAAAGTCACAGTTTCCAAGAATCTATCCATGACCTTTAGTGAGAACTTACTGTAGTTGCAACAGAGACCCTATGACCCACAAGCCTAAAATATGTACTGTCTTGCCCTTTAAGAAAGAGTTTACCAACCCTGCCCTCCACCCCCAGAAAAGTGCTTGGATCTCCACTGGGGATGCTTCCCTGGCTGGCTCAGGTTCCTGGGGTTCTTGAAGAGTCTGCCTGGGGCCTGCTTTTGTGGTCCCAAGAGAGGATGTGTGGCCATTGAGACAGTAGACTATTGGATCCGCCTAAGCCAGTATCCTGTACCTGGAAAACCCCTGTCGTTTTCAGTCCTACCTCTGGAACCTGGAGGTGTCTCACCCCCACTCCCACACACGCTTCTTGGAGCCTGGAGGCCTGAATTCCTCAGCAGGGGTGGGGTGTGGCCTTGGTGTGACAAGGTAGCCTCCCTCTTATTTCCCAGGACCCTACGGAGCATGGCCCAACCCAAAGCCAGTGTCTGGCAAAGAGGGTCATGGGTCCCTCCGAGTCCCACAGCACGTTTCTCTTGCTACCTTTGCTTTGTCACTTCCGGCCTCACTGTCCCTTTAGTGCCAAGGCCCTGGAGATGCAGCTGCGGCGAGAGCTTGCAACCCAGCCTGGTTCACGGGCCCGAACCTGGCGCGCGTCCACTCTGGGAACAAGGCCCTGCGGCTTGGCGTTGGTGGGGTGTGTGTCTCTGTTGGCTTGGGGCCAGATCACGACTGGGTATCCTCGCAGCCAACCTTTACGGAGTCCCCTTGTGTCCTGGTTTCCACCTCTTTGGACTTGGTCTTGGTGAAACTCCTGGCAGGAACGGGGCTCATATAAAGTTCCTGCTTTTGCAAAACAGCAGCACAACCATCTGGTCACTGGCCGCTCAGGGCTGGGCTGGGAAGTGAGACCCTTTGGTGGCAAAGGGGAACTGCGTGCTGGGAGCAGCGGGTGTCAGAGGGTGCCTGAGGTTTATTACCCTTGCAGCTGGAAGGGAGGAGGCTGGCAGTGGGAGGAGGGAGCAGACACCAGAATAGCAGAGAAGAGAGCAGCTAAGCACCCTCGGAGCTGCTTTTAGCTGGCAATGGTGAGCCCGGCGTTCGGAGCTTTACTTCACGTGAACCTCCCCTACACACCCTTTCCCCCGAGGCCATAAAATAAAAAGGTCCTTATCAAAGCTCCTCTCTGTAGAGTTTCTGGTGACCTCCTACTACATGGGCTTACACTGATGGGGCACTGACTTGGGGCATCTGTCATTTACCTGATATTGACTACGGATCTGGGACTGTGAAGTTGGGAGGATACAGAGTAAATACAGTCTGGTCTGGAGGCACAGGGACAGTTGCTCCGGTTTGAATGCGCTCTACACTAGATCACAAGCTTCCAGCACCCACGTCTCTGTCTGTCCTGTTCACTTCTGTCGCCCAGTGTGGCACACAGATGTTCAAGGACGACCCATCCTCGTGTGGTCTGTCCTGGAAACATGCAGGAGGGATCGGAGGGGGTGGGTGGAGGAAGGGAGGAGCTCACGGCAGCAGGTGGCACATTTGGGGGAGGATGGGATGCACTTGGACATGCTGGGGATGCGAGTGAGGAGAAAGGGATAGAGGAAGATTGACGCCATGTGGGAATGAGAGGCTCCTTTGTCATTAGGACGATGAGAAAGGAGGAGAAGGACCTGGTACAAAGAGGTGGGTTGGGTGCACTCACGTCATTGGATAAAGCAGAGGGCTGGGGAAGAAAGGAAAGCCAGCCAATGTCAGGGAAGGTAGCATTGGGGCGTGGGAGTGGAAACCAGTGAGAGAGGAAACAGAGGCCGAGTCTGGTAGTTACGTGGTAAACATCTTGCCCCAACCATGTTTGCCGGTAACTAATAGGCCTTAAGGCCATTTCATTATAAAAATATAAAAGAAGGAAAAAGAAAAGAGGGACATTTAAAAGGATATAATGAAACATGAACAAAGCAATAACAAAATTAAAAGGCTTTATTGTGAAAAATGAACATATATCGTCTTCGGAGTCTTCCATTCATAGGATTTTACACTTTCTTTTTTGCGTGTGGATTCGTCTCATTCAGAGTTTCACTTTTTCACTAAAATTTCTTCTTCCTTCATTAAGAGAGGTGACAGTTTCCAACTAAAGAATCAATAATTAATGCTCTCAAAGACTGTGAAGAATTAGCAGCTGCCTCTTTTGTATTTTGAACAGCCCAGCAAACTTTTGGTTTTGATGGATGGGAGGACTCCCTGGTCTCACCAAAGGATTTGCAAACTGACCTGCGATCATTTTCTAGTAGAGTATGCAGTCTGGGCATATATGGAGCTTTGTAATCCGTTGTATATGTAGCTGTTATCCACAGTTTTAAGACCACCATGTCTACTTGTCACTGAATATATAGATCATTATGAGGCTGAGATATATATAATGTAAAAATGGGAGTAATTGTGAGAACTTGGTCCAGGGAGAACTGAAACCAAAGTGACAACGAGGTTAAATGCACAAAGTCTGCCAAATGTAAACCAAACTGTCAGCCAGCTAAGATACTTATGGTGGAACAACCTTGAACCCATAAAGGCATCTCCAGGCCCGGAGTGGAAGCGGAGCTGAAGCAGGTGAGTCCAAGGTGATGATGACGGCAGTGACGAGGACAAGACAGGACCCCCAGCTCTGTCTGCAGGTCTCCTTGGAAATGACCGAGTCCAGGTATGACCCTCACTACCACATTTCCCTGTAGGGGGGCAGGTGCACGGAAATGAACTGGAGTTTGAGATTATGATTATTATTCTTTTTAACAGTCTTACTATGGAAAATTTCACATACAGGCCACCCCCCAAAATGCATACACACTTTAAGAGCTAATAGCTCAATTTTGAAAATGACATGTATTTTAATAAATGCTGACTCTATAATTATTCAAAGTGTGTGTAAACCTTTTTGGGGACACACTATCTATATGAAGAGAGAATTAGTATAAGAAACTTCAGTGTTCCTGTCACTCACTTTCAACATATCAACACATGGCCCCTCTCGCTTCACTGATAGCCCCGCCTACTTTATTCCTTATTCCCTCCTTAGATTCTTTGACAGCAAATCCCAAACATCATATTACGCCTTAAGTACTCCACTGTGTGTCTCTCAAACACAATACCTTTGAATAACATACCTCCAGGAGTAGTATCACCCCTTGCAAAAGCACAGTTCCCCAAATATCACCAGTATTTTCATTTTCCTGTTTGTCTCAATTTTTTTTTAATAGTTGATTTTGCTTGAATCGGGCTCCAAATAAGATTCACACGCTTCCTTTAGTTGATGCTTAATCTCAAAGTCTCTGTTAATGAAAATTATGGTCATTCTTCAAAGATTTTATGTTTAACAATTCTGCCTTTTAGATTTATTTAGCGGTGTCCCTCTATCTCCAATCAGCTGCCACCACCAGTTTCCCTGAGTTTTATTGAACCATTTTGTGATTTCTGAGCGTTCATTTTTCCTCATCTTTGTGGTTTAATATAACTAGTCTTTTTTTAACATATTTTTATTGATTTCAGAGAGGAAGGAAGAGGGAGAGAGAGATAGAAACATCCATGATGAGAAAGAATCATGGATCAGCTGCCTCCTGCAAGTCCCCTACTGGGGATCGAGCCCACAACCCCGGGCATGTGCCTTTGACCGGAATCGAACCTGGGACCTTTCAGTTAGCAGGCCAATGCTCTATCCACGGAACCAAACCAGCTAGGGCATAACTAGTCATTTTTTTCTTCCTTCAATAAATATTTTTTTGAGAGACTGCTCTGTGTGCCAGGCACTGGGCATACAGCTGTGGAAAGACAGTCAGGGCCCTGCTCTCACGGAGCTGACAGCCTGATCACATCTGAGCTGTTGCCGGACTGCTTGTCATCTGTCTCCCCCACAGTGGGGGGCCAGGACCCTCACTTCTGTGCTGAACGATCTGCCACGTTCTAGGACTTAGTATTCACATTCTCTTGCTGTCATTTTATTTATTTGTTTAATATTTTTATTGATTTCAAAGAGGAAGGGAGAGGGAGAGAGAGCTAGAGACATCAATGATGAGAGAGAATCATTGATCGGCTGCCCTCCTGCATGCCCCATACTGGGGATCGAGCCTGCAAGCCAGGCATTTGCCCTGACCAGGAATTGAACTGTGACCTCCTGGTTCATAGGTCGACTCTCAACCACTGAGCCACGCCAGCCGGGCATTGCTGTCATTTTATGTGGGGTGGCCCGAGGATTGTTCAAGGTGGCTTCTGTGGCAAGCCTCTGTTTCATCACCATGTGACTGGGATCCTAGCAGTGTTGCCGACCGCCTTTGTGTCTGTCCATTTATTCAAGCCACTGTTGGGTTGAGTCTTTATAGCCAAGCAGGTTAAAATGGAACGCGTACTTCACTGGCGGAGTGTAGGGAGGCTGAATGAAAACAGCTGAAAGGTGCCCTGAATGGTGAAAGGGCTCAGCCAAGCGGTGCTGCTGTGCTGTTTGAGCAGCTGGATGTTCTGTGGCTCCGTGGACACTCCAGGTTGGTTTGGGGCTCTGCCTGTTCTGACCAGGCGACCTGCCTAATTAGGCCCATTTTCTCCATTTGTTGTTCTTTGCTGAGCCGTATGATATCGGGTAACCATCCCTCCTCGGGAGCAGAATCTGATAGTGCAGTTCAGGCCTGCCTTGCTAATAAAACTATAAACTGGTTTGCATTTCTTTGTGTAAATAAACAATCAGACTTATATTTGGTCCCCGTGACACTCTGATTTTGATAACAGTTCGTGATTCTTGTTATATTTTTCTAACTTGCAGTTCCGATGCAGCTCTACTGCAGTGTCTGGATTGTAGTGTTTGAGCCTTTAAAAAAAAAATCTTAATAAAAACATCTATTCTCAGATACAAAGACTAGTATTCTTTTACCTCTTCTAGCTATTTTATTGTATACTTGACATAATAATACGAACGTACTAGTATAAATTATACCGTGATATGCATGCCGGTCACTGAAGGCTGCCTAGTTTATAATTTGATAGTATGCTTTATTTTCTTCCAATTAAGTGGTCTTTAATTATTTTGATTATGCACCCATATTGGTTAAAACTTTTGAGAACTCCTCTTATGTGTGTATTTATAATTTACATATAGCATTGCTGTACTGATAGGTTATCTACATTATGAAACACAAAGTTTTAAAAACAGGTGTGATATGGTGTGTTCTCAGCCGTTTCCCAGGTAAACATTGAGGTCCGGTCTGAGGATAACCCCTATCCTTCGCACTGAATTCCATCCCTCTTCTCTATCCAGGAATTGCTCCAGGACTTCCCTTGCCTCTTTTTTTTTTAATATTTTTATTGATTTCAGGAAGGGAGAGGGAGAGAGAGAGAAACATCAATGATAAGAGAGAATCATCATTGATCAGCTGCCTCCTGCACACCCCACACTGGGGATTGAGCCTGCAACCCGGGTGTGTGGCCTGACCAGGAATCGAACCCTGCCCTTTTGGTTCATAGGTCAACACTCTACCACTGAGCCACGCCAGCTGGGCTCCCTGGCCTTCTTGCATCCCCAGTTTTCCCCTCTCTACTGGATCATTTCCATATGCTATTGTTTTCTCATCTCCAAAAAGCTCTCATTAACTCTAGCTACTGCTCATGTCTCTGTCCCTTACAGAGTTTTTCATTCCTTGCTCTCTTCCTCTCTCGAATCCCTCCAGTCAGTCTTATCCCTACCACTCGAACGAAAGTGCTATTGTCAGGGCTGGTAGTGACCTCCGTGTTACTACCATGAAGGTCACCTCTTAAGTCTACATCGTAGAAGCTTCAGCAGTACTTGACCCAGCTGGCCATACCCTTTTCTTTGAAGCTCTTTCTATCAGTGGCTTCAGGACACAGATTTCTGGTTTTCTGCCCGTCCTATGGCTCTCCCTTCTCAGTATCTCATCTCCCTGACCTCTAAACATTAAAAGGCCTGGGGCACCTCCTCTTCATCTTCTCTCTTTCTCTTTGTGATCCTCTCCCCACTCGTGGCTTTAAATACCATCATGAACGATGTCTAGAATTTGCTTCAGAGTCATCCTGGGAGATAAACCAGCTTGACCATGAGTAGATAATGGTTGGAGCTAGGTGATGGGTACCTGGGGCTTTCCTATACTGTCTCAAATTCTATTTATATCTGAAATTTCCCAGAATGAAAAGTTAGAAAAGAAATCTACGTGCCGATGACCCTCAGTTATTTGTCCCAAGCCCAGCCTCTCCCCTGAACTACAGACCTGACCTCTGTCTCCATCTGCCTGCGTAACATTTCACCTGGGATGTTAATAGACATTTCACACTTCACACGCCCCAAACGGAACTCCTGATTTTCCCACACAAATACGTTCTTCCCGCAATCTCCCGTCTCGGTTATGGGAATGCCATCATCCAAAACACCTGTGCTCATGGCTTCTCTCTCTTGCTTATGTCCATCCAATCCAGCAGCAAATCTTGGGGGCGCTACCTGCAATATACCTGGAGTGTGACCAGTCAGAACTACTTTCCCTGCCGTCACCCTGGTCCAAGCCAGCATCACCTCTCACCTGCTTCTCCTTTGCCCCTGACAGGCCGCCGTCCTCACAGCAGCATGCAACGTGTCCCATCGTGCCCTGCCATGCTCAGAACTCTGCAAGGGCGTCTTTTCTCTCTCAGTGAAAGCCCTGCTCCTTAGAGTGGTCCACGAGACCCTGTAGCTCAGGGGTCCTCAAACTTTTTAAACAGGGAGCCAGTTCACTGTCCCTCAGACCATTGGAGGGCTGGATTATAGTTTTTTAAAAAAAACTATGAACAAATTCCTATGCACACTGCACATATCTTATTTTGAAATAAAAAAACAAAACGGGAACAAATATAATATTTGTATTTGCATGTGACCCGCAGGCCGTAGTTTGAGGACCCCTGCTGTAACTCATCAACATTATCCCATAGAAATATAATGTGTGTGACACACGAGAGCCACATATGTAATTCAACATTTTCTGGAAGCCAAATTAAAAAAGGGAAAAGAATCATAGTAATTTATTTAACCCAGTATGTAAAAAATATGTGAAATATACAGGGGTGGCAAAAGTAGGCTTACAGTTGCTCGTGTGGAAAAAAGACATGCAGGTTCTGATAATTATAATAGCTTTATTATCTCAAAAGAATGGCACAGTGCACTTATCATAAATGCTCAAATTGCCGGCCTTCATGATTTCCACATTCTTGTAGTCTACTTGCTGTACACTTTGGCAGAGTTCTCACCTACTTTTGCCCACCTCTGGGTTTTCATTTCTGATCTAGATGACGTGGTTTTTGCCATACTAACTCACACCGAAATTTGGACGAGGTATATTTCCTGTGCTCGGTAGCCTTGTGGGACTCATGGCTGCCATATTGGAAATGCAGGCTTCCATGGTCTGGCCCTGCTGTGCTTCTCTGTTTTTATCTCCTGCTACTCTTCCCTTTTTTCACTGTGCTCCAGCCAGACTGGCCTCCTGGCTGTTCCTCATACAAACTAGGTGTTTCCTGTTTTAGGGCCTTCACACCCCTTGTTCCCTCAGTTGGGAGCACTTTCCCCCAGATAGCCCGCAGCTGACTTACTTCCTTTGGGTCTGTGCTCAGATATTACCTTCTCGGCCAACTCCACACCTTTGCTGGCAGTATTCCTGTTATTTTGTATATTCCCTCCCCCCCCCCCCCCCCCACACACACACACTGGAATGTGAGTTCTTTGAGAGCAGGGATTTTTGTCACTTTTGTTCCCTGCTGTATTTTCAGAGCAAAGAACAGTGCCTGGCATATATAAGATAGGTGGGTGTTGTTGAAGAATGAAATGAAATGAATTGTTAAGAATTATTATTTATAGTAAGAACCGAATCAAATCGAATGCACTTCATTATTTCACAGTATCTTGCTGTCATATTTTGCAATATAGCAGATTGACGGTCTGGCTCAAGTCAGGGTATTTTGAAAGAGACCTGTTTATGAAGAGGTTATTATGGGTTCAGTTTATAGAATAAAGGAGTCAGGACCCCTGCATTTTATTCATTTCATGGAGACTTTTTTTTAAGTGTGGATATTCTGTTTTAAACTTGTGCATAGATACAGGATTGTACAGATGACCTCCTTATATTGAATTTGGAACCATGATCACAGGATGGTGGAAATGACTTCCAAATACCTGTTTCTTACATGCTCCTTCTGTGACATGTCTGTCAAAAAAGAAAGGTTTTCTTACCCATTTTTAAAATGTCACCTTTATCTTAAAAGGACAGATAAAATACTTATTTGATTAAAATGTTCATTAAGTAGCTTTCTACTGACAAGTGCTCATCACAGAAGAGGTCAGCGGATTTGGGGGCCTTGTTTTCTGGTTTAATAAAAACAGCCTTTAAGTTGAGCAGCTTGGGTAGTTCACCATGAGATCATCAGTGACGGCGTGGTCACATGATTTGCTGGCCTCACCCTCTCCTAATGACGACTGTTATTTATTGTATTGGAGATGACATCCTTAAGTTAGCTTAACTGGCTACGTGCAAACCGGATTAAAGTCCACAGACCACGGGGGCGCCACTCCACTGTCCGTCTGTGTGTTTTGGATCTCCTACTCAGATACAAGTTGCCTCCTGTACCTTAAATGACGGAGACCACCCGACACAAATTGAAGGAGTGCACCAGTGTCAAGTCATATATTAATAGTAAAGCTTAGTTCCTTAATTTCAAATAAAAGCAATTCTAAATAGACATTCTAGTTCAGTGATGGCGAACCTATGACACGCGTGTCAGAGGTGACACGTGAACTCCTTTTTTGGTTGATTTTTCTTTGTTAAATGGCATTTAAATATATAAAATAAATATCAAAAATATAAGTCTTTGTTTTACTATGGTTGCAAATATCAAAAAATTTCTCTATGTGACACGGCACCAGAGTTAAGTTAGGGTTTTTCAAAATGCTGACACGCCGAGCTCAAAAGGTTCGCCATCACTGTTCTGGTTCTTCACCCTCATGGATCTTGTACATGCCACATCAAGGGTGGTTGCTCCCATCGATTCTTCTATATTAGTCTTGCCTTCCAACCACCTTTCACTAATATTTGTTGACTGACTAGTGACGGGGAGCAGCTCCATTTTCTGACCTCGCCACCCTAAGATTCTATTGGTTAGACAACAAAGTCCAGTCGCTAGATTTCTGTGGTGGCTTCTAGAGCCATTGTGTTAGCAGTGTCGAAAGTACTGATACCATTAGGGAAAATAGCATTGCAAGCTCGATGCCTCATTCTGGATCTGACAGGTAGCAAAGGTGGCGGCTACTTGAGGCCCCGCCATGCTGTGATTCAGGTGGTAGGTGATGAGTGTGCTGGCAGAGGTTGCTGGGAGAGACGGCCCAGGTCGCTAGAGGAGCCAGCTCTGTTCTAAAAAGAGAGAGGTGATACGTCTTTGACGTATTGTGGCATGTCTTCCATCAGCTCGCCAATCTGCTGAAAGTGCGTGTGCAAGTACGCTTTTCATCCACCTTGGCAGTCCAGGACATGTGCCAGCTGGATATGTACCCTCGGAGTTATTTTCCAGCTGCCGTGGCCAGAAGCACAATTTAAAGTGGGTGGGGAACGCCCAGCCCGCGGGCCATTATACTAGTAAGGCCCACGAAATCATTTCTTCTGGCCTGCCAAGGCATTAGGGGTGAGTTGAATAAATGTTTGAGCAAATATAGCAGGCTAATTTTTAAGTGGATAATTTTGTGTAGCTCGTGAATGATGTTATATTATCCAAATGGCCCTTGTTAATAGTTGGGTGTTGAGAGTGGGACTTCTTCCCTCAAAAGTGTAGTGCAATGGCCCAGGGATGAAGGAGGAAATGGCTTGTTGGAGAAGGTGGTCCACATTCTCTGAGGGGTGCCCGTGGTGGAAAGAGGCTGTGTATTGCAAAGGGAGGGGTGGTCTCAGGAGGGCCTTGACCAGCTTTCTAAGAATTTGATTTTGGTGTTTCTTTTTTTTTTTCAATATATATTTTACTGATTTTTTACAGAGAGGAAGGGAGAGGGGTAGAGAGTTAGAAACATCGATGAGAGAGAAACATCGATCAGCTGCCTCCTGCACACCCCCTACTGAGGATGTGCCTGCAACCAAGGTACATGCCCTTGACTGGAATCGAACCTGGGACCCTTCAGTCCGCAGGCTGACGCTCTATCCACTGAGCCAAACCGGTTAGGGCATGATTTTGGTGTTTCTTAACCTCTTTTGACGCCAGTTCTCATTAGGGATTGCAAGGAAACTATAGTCTCTGTCTCCAGGAAAAAAAAAAAAATCACAGCAGCACGATCTGGCATCTGCCATCAGAGGACTCCCAGGTCCGCCATGGGCTGGGCAGCCGGCAGCGCTCCAGGGCTCTGAACACGGGACCAGACACTTGTCCGCCCTGGAGTCTTTGGAATGGACTCAGGTGAGCGTGCAGCGCGCAGGCTTTCTGGGTTTCCAGGGCACTGATAGCGGGCGGGCAGGCACTCTCACGGCCCCGATGAGCTCGGGGAAGCGATGGAGCATGGGAGTGTCTGTGCACTGGCGTGAATGGAGCGGTCCAGTGTCTGCTCTGTTTATTAGCAGACAGAAACGTTTACCTGGGAAAAGAATAAAAAAAAGGAATCTTTAAAACTCGCTAATTCAGAATATGGAATGCTAACTTTTTAAATATATATATTTATTTATATTTATGCATATATTTATTTATATTATATATAAATATATAAATATATATTAGTTATATATATATTTATTGATTTCAGAGAGGAAGGGAGAGGGAGAGGGAGAGGGAGATAGAAGCATCAATGAGAGAGAATCATTGATCGGCTACTTCCTGCACGCCCCACACTGGAGATCAAGCCCACAACCCGGGCATGTGCCCTGACGGGAATTGAACCGTGACCTCCTGGTTCATAGGACGACGCTCGACCACTGGCTGGAATGCTAGCTTTTTGCTGTGACATGGTTTCCAGCTCAGATAGCTCCTCAGCCAAGCAGTAACAGCCAAGCAGTAACTGCGGATGTAGAGAAGCAGCGTGTTTCCCGTCTGGAAAAGGCTCCTTAGAGCTTCCCATCACCATGGCACAGGGTTCAGAGGACTCCTTCGCTGTCCTGGCCCAGGAGGGAGGGCCGCCCGCAGGAGGAGGTGGCGAGATTTCACGGGCTGCTTGGAAAAGCACAATGACTAGGTTGAGGACAGTTTAAAATTGGGTTGTTTTTGTTCCTGTTCTCATAAAAATTTCTATAAAGGGTTCTGTGTACCTTCAGTTAAAAAACAAAGAAAGAAACCAAACTTCCCGTCCTTGAGGAGTTTGTGGAGTGTCTGATATACAGATGGGCTGTTGGGAGATTTAAAAAACCCAGTGTGGGCCGCGCCGTGTTGACATTTCTGCGTTTGTGTGTCATAGGCGAGTTCCTTCGGTGGAGGGACGAGGTTGCGGGCGGTGAGGCAATGCTTTTTCCCAATGAAGGACGTGGTTGGAAGTCCGCCCTGCGCCCCGCGGTGCTCCATGCTGCCCAGCACCAGCAGGCACCCCTGGAGGTAGAAGGCAGAGCTCCTGAGCTCCTGTCCCCACAGCACAGTAGGGTGGCAGCCACAGGGCAGGGGGACTCCTGGTGGCAGGCAGGGAGAGGAAGGCCATCCCGTCTGCAGAGACACCAACTCTTCCTCTCTTCACTGTGGCTCCCAACTGGGCTGCTTAGTGAGGTTTGCTTTGTGGGGAGGTTAATCTGTGAGGGAGTTTGTAAGTTCCTTCAAGGAAGAGAACGCCTCCTGTTTTCCCCAGACTCGGGTTTAGACGGCCAGTCCAGACCCCTTAATGGGTGATGAAATCAATTTAGTGGGCTGAGGCCAACATTAAAAAAAAATAATAAAAATACTAGATTGCATAGTGAAGATGAATACGATCTCAGGAAACTTCGTTTCAGCTATATATACTCTGCATAGACATAAGTGCTTGTTGTGTGTGTGTACCAGGTTACCTTGTAAACTTCCTTTTTTTCTTTTTAATATATTTTTATTGATTTCAGAGAGGAAGGGAGAGGGAGAGAGAGAGAGAGAAACATCAATGATGAGAGAGAATCATCGATCGGCTGCCTCCTGTACTCCCCACACTGGGGAGCAAGCCTACAACCCGGGCATGCGCCCTGACCGGGAATCGAACTGTGACCTCCTGGTTCATAGGTTGACACTCAATCACCGAGCCACCGCAGCTGGGCTAAACTTTATTTCTTACTGTGGGTCAGGGTCCAGACCTGGGCTGCAGCATACGCAGCCCCTCACCACTTCTCTCTCTTATCTCCTCTTCTCTTTCTCTCTCTCTCTCTCTCTCTCTCTCTCTCTCATTTCCTGACTTTTTTTAGCTATTTCCACCCCAGGTCAGGACAGGGAGAGGAAGGCCATCCCGACTGTTGTTCTCATCCTGTTGTTCTATTTCTCGGGTTCATTGGGAGAGAGGTTAGCGTTCAGACACTGGGGGAGGTTCCTGGTGGGTTGGCATGAGCTTTCTCCCCCTCAGTGATCCCACGTGGATCTCTCGTCTCCTGGCTCGTCCTCCCCCCAAATGGGAGGAGTCTTTCTGGGATCTCAGCTGCTTCTCCTTCCACCAACTGTGCCGGCCGGCCTGCGGGCGCTGACCCACTTGTCCTACCTCAAATAGAGGTTTAAATTGGGACCTTTAATCTGTAAGAGGCTTACAGCCTGTCGGTGCCCAGCTGCTCTGGACATCCATGTGGGCAACCTGGGCTTTGCCTGGTTGGCTGCTGCGGTTGGGTTTAGGGGATCCTGGGGGTCGGAGGTTTCATGGCAGAAGCCACTGGACACATGGCCTCCCTCGTTGAGGCCTGGGAATAGCAGGTCCCGGGGAGCAGAGATGTTTGGCCAACGTTTATTTTGCTGCCGGCACTTACACACGGGGCCTGGGAGTGGATGGGTGGGGTCTGTCTCTTGGGATGGAAAGAGGTGGGGTCTGTCCTGGGAATGAGGAGGTAGAGCGTCCAGACGCCCATGACCTCCAGTGCTGGTCCTGCTGCTCCCGGGCACTGAGCCTGGCTCCTTGCTGATGTGCAGCTAGCTCTGCTGGCTCCACATGGGTTTTCATTCCACAGATAATCGTTATTAATCAAGGGCTGTGTGTCCGGCACCGTGCTGGGGGCCATCGGGGACAAATGGAAACACGAGAATGAGGGCCTCCCCCAGACGGCTTATTGTCTCTTTGAGGAGACATAGCAAAGCGTTCATCTATCCCACAGGCAGAGACTTCTTTGGCTAGTAGCTGTTCGGGGTAGCAAAGGACACAATTCCGAAGTGTTATTGGAGACCTGAGAAGGAGGCGGGCCCTGCGTTCCCAGAGCTGGGCCCTGAATGGTGGGGTTTGGAAGGATGGGGAGAGAGGAGGACATGGAAGGGGGAGCACAGTGCCAACAGAGGAAGGGAGGGTGGGTGGTCCTCGTAAGTACAGGGGCTGTGGAGCCTCGTCCCCTCCCACTTCTTGGAATCGTCCCACTTTCAGTCCTGGAGACTCTTCGTCCTGGGACAACCCAGAGAGAGCTCTGGGGTGCCCTCTCTCTTCTCCTCTTTATCTTATAACGACAGCGATCATGGTTCCTGACTTCTATGGAGCACTTACTGCTATCACTGTTCTGTGGGCCTTGCTGTCTGGTGAAGGCCTTGCTCTCACACAGGTGTTCTCTGTCGTCACGCGCATTGTCCAGTGGACGCCACTGAGGCAGAGAAGGTTAAAGAACTTGCCTGAGGTCACATAGCAAGGACCTGTTCGGGCCCGGAGTCCTCGCCCTGCCCCACCCCCACCCCTGGCAGCCTGAAGGCAGCCGCCCATGGTCTTCACCTACGGCTCCCCTAACTTGTCTCAACATTGGAATACCAGAGGAGCTTTTAAAATTTTCCAAAGCCCGGGCCAACTGCTTTACACCCCAGTCCAGTTTCATCACAGTTTCTAGGGGGATGGGACCTGGGCATGAGGTGTGTGTGTGTGTGTGTGTGTGTAATTCTCATTACAGTTGACTTCCAGTATTATTTTGTATTGGTTTTAGGTGTACAGCATCGTGGTTAGACAGTCATATACTTTACAAAGTGTATTCCCAGCACCCAGCTGGCACCATACATGGTTCTTGCCATACAGCAGTTGTTTTTGAAGTTTCCGGGGTGGTTTCAGTGTGCAACCAGCTGTAGAAACCACCCTCTTCACCTCTGAATTTGAGCGCCTGTGAATATTTGATCGAATACATTTTTATCTCCAAGGCAGAGGGGCCCCCTGAGGGCGTCTTCATGTCAGCCACCATTCCACAGGGAGTAACTCCAGCCTCTCATTGAGAGAGCAGGCAAGCCCACCCCCACAGACAGCGTCTGGGACTCTGCAAGAGTGGGGCCTGGGTCGGGTGGAGGGGGCAGAGGGAGGGTGTGCTCCTGGGATCTGTGCCCCCTCTCCTCTCTGCGTGCTGCCTCGGGGCAGAGCCTGCTGGCCGAGCCTGGAGACCTCCGACTGGTTTCTCACGTCTTCTGCTCCCCTGGGCCCCTGACTTCAGCGGGGAAGGGAGAGGTCACAGGAGGGCAGATCTCTTCTGGACAAGTCGTGCTCCTCTCCGCCTGTCCCTGGCTGAACCTGAAATGGACACGAAGAGCAGTGTCATTTTGGTGACTTGGGAACAGCACTAAATTTAGCAAAACTGTAGCTGGTGGGGGGCCGGCCTGTAGGGAGCCAAACCCAGCCCCCAGTGGACGAGATTTAGAGTCAGCAACGCAGCCAGCGTCGTCGACTCTGCTGGGGCAAGTCTGTGGTTACACGGGTTCTAAAGCCCGGGAGCTTGTCAGCCTGGCCCTGGGGATCCCCCTGGCTCTGCCCCTTCCAGACTTGGCTCCGCCCACTGCCCATTGGGTTTGGTCTTCCACCTGTCCGTCCTTCATGTGTCTGGAATTGTCTTCAGTTCCCTCACCTTGGC